TATTCCCCACACAATCCACGCCACCGAACCTGCGACAAATTTGCCACGTGGCACGCAAATAAACCATCGGCATCACCTCCCGGCCCTTATGAACCAATCAGAACACACCTTATCTCATCCCTTATCTTACTCTCCCCAAATTAACCATCCATTGTCCACTCTCTACAGTCTACACCACACCACATTCCTCACATACACCAGAGAGGAAAAAGATTATGGCCGCGTCCCTGCAAGCCGCAGCCACCCTCATGCAGCCGGCCAAGGTCGGCGTGCCTACCCGCAGCACCCTGCAGCTCAAATCGCCCCACTCCCTTTCTAAGGCTTTTGGGTTTGAACCATCCGGGTCTAGGATCACTTGTTCTTTCCAATCTGATCTCAAGGAGTTAGCTCAGAAGGCTGTTGATGCCACCAAGCTCGCTGGCTTCGCTCTTGCTACTTCAGCCCTTGTCGTCTCGGTACGTTTCTCTCAAATTTTGCAGCTTTACCTCAATGTCTTTTTCAATTTTGTTAAAAAAACTGAATCAGGAAGAATATGATGAACAGAGTGCTCTGCTCTCTACATGTTTGTTTATATTCCTGATCAGAAGCACTTTATGCTTTAGATAATCAAGAAGGGTATACAGTCTGTTTGTTATGGTAATCTTTCTATCTGTGCATCGTGAGAATGCGTACATAATACACATGTTAGCTCATGATTCAGTGGGAATTTGGGTTCTTTTGGAGGTTTGTGCTCATGCATAGAATAACTTATTTTAACAGGGAGCAAGTGCTGAGGGAGTTCCAAAGAGGCTAACCTACGATGAAATCCAGAGCAAGACATACATGGAAGTGAAAGGAACAGGAACGGCAAACCAGTGCCCCACCATTGACGGTGGTGTTGATTCATTCGCCTTCAAGCCTGGGAAGTATTATGCGAAGAAGTTCTGCTTAGAACCCACTTCTTTCACTGTCAAAGCTGAGGTTGTCAGCAAGAATGCCCCTCCAGAATTCCAGGAAACCAAGCTCATGACGCGATTGACCTACACTCTTGATGAAATTGAGGGTCCTTTTGAAGTTTCTGCCGATGGAAATATTAAGTTTGAGGAGAAAGATGGGATTGACTATGCTGCTGTCACGGTTCAGCTGCCTGGTGGTGAGCGTGTGCCCTTCCTCTTCACCATCAAGCAGTTGGTGGCATCAGGCAAACCACAGAGCTTCGGAGGAGAGTTTCTCGTGCCATCCTACCGTGGCACATCTTTCTTGGACCCAAAGGGAAGAGGTGGCTCAACCGGGTATGACAATGCAGTTGCATTGCCTGCAGGAGGCAGAGGAGATGAGGAGGAGCTAAAGAAAGAGAACATCAAGGACGCATCTTCTTCATCAGGGAAAATCACCCTTAGTGTTACCAACAGCAAGCCTGAGACCGGAGAAGTGATTGGCGTTTTTGAGAGCGTTCAGCCATCAGACACTGATTTGGGGGCTAAAGCTCCGAAGGATGTAAAAATCCAGGGCATCTGGTATGCTCAGCTTGATTAATACACCTATTGTACGAAAGTGTTTATTCTTGGTTGATTCAGATTTTGTAAGTTTGAAGTCTGTTGTTAAAACTTTTCTGGTAACCCAATGAGATGCACTGAAATTATCATCCTCTTTGTAAATTATTGTGGCTTCTTATAATATAAATTTCGAATTTCTAAAAGTTCTTATAATTACATATATCATGTAGAGCATCTGGTTAGATAAGGGGTCATGGT